TTATCTGTCCATTTTGTTGTTGCTATCAAGTTCCTGTTAATCTTATGTGACAGTTTCTCGATTTCTTGTGTCTTCATATTGAGTATATTTTCCTGTTAAATTGTAAGCAATTACTGGGGCAAGATTTGAACAGGATTTGAGTAAAACTTGGTAAAACTCGAGTAAAAGAAGATATAGATGAAAGTCTTCCAGGCAATGGTATCTGGAACCCAGGGAAGTAGTACTGTCATGTGTTAAATCACTTACACTGCTTAATGAAATGAGAAATCTTGCAGAGTCAGGAAGTTTTAAAAAACAATCTCCATACATGAAGAGAAAGAAAGAAGTGCCAATAGTGTTATATGATTTTAGAAGAAGGTGTCATCTCAACTCCTGACTTCTAGAAAAGCAGGTAGATCAATTGTTGCAATATAATCACAGCAACAGGTGATCAACCACAATTTACAGGACCCAGAAACCACCACTGAAGTATAATTATCTTGCAAATAATTTCTTCATTCAAATAATAATTTTAATGCAAGTTGAATTTAAACAGAACCAAATAATAGTACTTTAAAATATTTTTACATTGGATGATAAACACATAATATTTATTTTCTATCAAGCATTGAAGAAACAGAGTTAGAGAAGACCCCTGGGCACTCCCACCAGCTGCCAGGATACCAGTGCAGGCACCTGCAACACCCCACCCCCCACCCCTCCCACCCTCACCTCTGGCCTCTTGACTGTGCTGCTACCTGGTTCCACACTACAGAGGCACAGGGGGGCATAAAGGACATTGTCCTGAGCTGCAGAAGAGAACAACAGATAGAGGGCCTCTCTCAGGCACCCTGATAAAAATTGAAGCCCACTGGAAAAGTGACTAGCATCTCTGCAATAAAGGCACACCAGATCACCATACTTGGTTAGTTGGAGGGATCATCACCTCCCATTGCAACCTGGACTATCTTCGGGGGAAGGGCAGCTGGAACATGCAATAGAACCTTGCAGAGTTCAAACATGCAGGAGGACAGGGAGCTCAACTTGGGACTTGTAGCCAGAAATCAGACTGAATCTCATGGGTCTTTGACTGGCTTGCTGAGACTCATTGACATATCTGCACACTGCTGCCCATGTTGTCTATTGTGACAGCAGAAACATATCCTGAAGGAGGCCCTTCATTTTTATCTTTTATTTGTTATTTTCAAAATTATCACTTTCTTTTACTCCTACTTTAAATGTTTTTCTTTTTCTACACTTTTCAAATTTATTTTTCTTTTTCCTTTCTTTTCTCTTTTCTTTCTCTGTCTCTCTCCCTCACTCCCTCGCTGTTCCACATTGTTCTTCATCTCCCTTTGTGTTCCTGTTCTGGCCCTAATTAGTATTTCTTCTTTATTTTTCTTTACATTTCTTTTTCCTTCTCTTGCCTGTGTCCTCAGGCCTCACTGCTAACTTTTCCTATTCATCTACCTACCTATCCCTCCCTTGCCAATTCCTTCTAACTCCCCATCCTGAAGGGTAAAGTTGCTATATTGAAGAGTTTATTCCCTATAAGCATATGTTGGGTTGGTCTTTCATTTTGATTTAATTCACACAGTTAAAGGTGATAGATTAATAACTACCAAAAAATGTCATTTTCTAAGAGGTACTTCTTGCTGTGGTGTGGCTGATTATATCACTTGGGCTAAGGTGCTGTGATTGATCTAATAAGTTGTCCTTCCTGTTATAATGAAAATGAGATAGCCTCAGAGCCATTAAAGACTTAAAACCTAAAGACCAGCTATATCTGGAAGACACATCTGAGAAGCAATCATTCCATAAGTGTTCTAAATACATCAACAAAGATACTAAAAAAAGCAACTTCAAAGTATCAACCCAGGAATTAAACCAAAGACAGTACCAAAAACAAAAATGAGAAGACATTTAAGCAAGTCACAACCTCAGACTTCCACTCCACCAAGGGTAAGTTCTGGGGGAAACGAGGTGGAAAAGTCTGATAATTGACCACCTGGACACCCTGAACTGATAGCACAGGAAGTAACAAAACAGATGAATGAGTCTCCAGAAAAATTCAAAGCAGAAATAATCTCCCAGATAACTACAGACATGGTGAGCATAGTGAAAAACAAGATTAGAGGATCTAGAAAAGAAACAGATTAAAAAAAGGAGATGAGCTCAGAAACATTCTGGAAGCCGTGAATGCCCAGCATAAGAAAGAAATGGAAACCATGATGGCCTAACATAAGAAAGAAATGGAATCCAAGAAACAGATTCAAACAGATATTCAGGATATTAAAAACTCCACTGAAAGTTTGCACAGTAGATTAATGAAATTAGAAGATAGAATATCAGATATGGAAGACAGGGTTGCAGTTAAGGACCATGAAAACAGAGATTTCTTAAAAATAGAAAGGATGCATGAGAAATCAATCCAGCAGCTGCTAGATGATGCAAATAAGAATAACATAAGACTGATAGGAGTCCACGAAAAAACAGGAGAAAGTACAATTGACATAAAAAAAAAACTGTTCACAGAAGTAGTAGAAAACTTCCCAGAGAGAGGTGGAGAATTGGACATACAGATAAGTGAGGCATATAGAAGTCCAACTAGCCATGATCAAAAAAAATCTACACCTAGACATATAATAGTCAAGATTGCAGAAAACAGAACAAAATCCTACAAGCAGTTAGAAAAAAGAAACAAACCACCACAAAGGAAAGCCCACCAGAATCGTGGCAGATTTCTCAACACAAACCCTCAAATCAAGGAGAGCCCGGAGTGAAGTATTTCAAGCCCTAAAAGAAAGTAACTTCCAACCTAGAGTGTTGTATCCGGCAAAATTATCTATCAAAATCGATGTGGAAATTAGATACTTCCACAAAAAAGAATACACGAGAAATTTCATGAACACCAAACCAGCATGTCAAACAACTCTAAGCAATATCCTAGAAAAAGACAAAGAAGGTCACAACTCAATGAGGCCCAACAGAGGGAAACCATCAGGGCAAGGTAAAAAACTAAAGGGACCTTGAGAAAAATAAGAAATAAAAGAGCCAACAACAGTAAAATATCATGGCAAGGCTGAGTCAATTTCTATCAACATGAATGTTAATGGCTTCAATTCACAAATCAAAAGACATAGACCCACAGAATGGATTATAAGCAAAATCCAGCAATATGCTGTATACAAGAAACACACCTTACTCAAAAAGAAACTTATAGACTGAAAGTAAAAAGATTGAAAATAGTTCTCCATGCCACAGGAACCCAGAAAAAAGCAGGCATAGCAATCTTATTTGCAGACAAAGTAGATTTCAAACCAAAACTAATTAAGAGAGACAAAGATGGTACCTACATCCTTGTGAAGGGAACAATCAAAGAGGAAGAGATGACAATCATAAATTTATATGCACCAAATATAAATGCATCCAACTATACAAAACAAATATTAATGGATATGAAAAACCAAAAAAGCATTAATACAATTGTAGTGGGGGGCCTCAATACCCTACTATCACAAATAAATCATCTGGACAAAAAAATAACCAAAATTCTAGAAGTGAACCAAGCTGTTAAACAAATGGGCTTAATAGATGTCTACAGGGTGTTCCATGCCACAACATCAGAATGCACATTCTTTTCAGCTGCACACGGGTCATTCTCTAAAATAGACCATATGCTAGCTTATACAACATGGCTAAGTAAATGGAAAGGAATTGAAGTTACCCCCTGTTCATAATCAGACAGTGCAATAAAATTGGATATCAATAACATACGAAACCACAAAATGCCCACATCACATGGAAATTGAATAACTCCCTGCTGAACATCCAATGGGTCACAGAGGAAATTAAAGTAGAAATTAGACAGTTCCTACAAGTAAATGATAATCCCAATACAACATAGAGGACTCTATGGGACACAATGAAAGCAGTTCTATGTGGGAAATTCATAGCAGTGAATGCCCATATTAGGAAAGAAAAGAGAGAGCTCAAATAAATAACCTAATGCAGAAACTCCAGCTCCAAGAAAAAGAAGAACATAGCAAATGCAAAGCTCATAAAAGAGAGGAAATTATAAAGATCAGAACAGAAATCAATGCAATGGAGACTAATAGAATGATACAAAAAATTAATGAACCAAAGAGTTGGTTTTTCAAAAGAACAAATAAAATCGATAAACCTTTAGCCAACCTTATTAAAAAGAAGGAAAGAAAAGGCTCAAATCCATGCAATTAAGAATGGAAAAGGTGAAGTCACAACAGACCAAGCAGTAATCCAGAGGATCATCAATACCTACTGTGAGAACCTGTACTCTGATAAAATGAAAAACACAGAAGAAATGGACAGATTCCTAGATACATACGAATTGCCAAAATTAAATGAAGAAGATATAAATATTTTAAACACACCAATTACAATGAGTGAAATTGAAAAGGTAATAAAAAATTTACCAGCAAAGGAAAGCCCAGGTCCTGATGGCTTCAGTGCTGAATTCTACAAGACATTTAAAGAAGAACTATCACTATTACACTTTAAACTCATCAAGGAAATTGAAAGAGAAGCAAAGCTTCCAAATTCATTCCTGAAAGCAAGTGTTACTTTGATTCTAAAACCAGAGAAATATCCAACTCAAAAAAGAGAACTACAAGCCAATCTCCCTAATGAACATAGATGCAAAAATCCTCAACAAGCTACTGACAAGCAGGATACAGAGGGTCATCAAGAAGATCATACACCCTGACCAAGTTGGATTCATCTCAGGGATGTAAGGATGGTTCAACATAAGTAAATCAACACTATATTAACAGAGTCAAGGACAAAAATCATATGACCATCTCAATATATGCAGAAAAGGCATTCAACAAAATCCAACACACATTCATGATAAAAAAAATTCAGAAAATTGACATGGAAGGTCTTTATTTCAAACTGATTAAGGCTATCTATCAAAAACCAACAGCCAACATCATACTAAATGGTCAAAAACGGAAAACTTTTATGCTAAAATGAGGAACAAGACAAGGATGTACACTATCACCACTCTTGTTCAATATTGTTCTGGAAACATTAGCTACAGCAATCAGACAAGAGAAAGAAATAAAAGGAATAAAGATAGGAATGGAAGAAATTAAACGGCCATTATTTGCTGATGATACAATACTTTACATAGAAGAACTAAAAACCTCCACCAAAAGACTTCTAGACTTAATTGACAGATTCAGTAGAGTAGCTGGATACAAGATCAACACTCAAAACAAAATAGCCTTCTTATATACAAATAACAGACTCACTGAGAGAGAAATTAGGGAGAAATTCCTTTTATAATAGCATCAAAAAAAATGAAATACCTAGGAATCAATCTAAAAAAGGAAGCAAAAGATGTCTACACTGTAAACTGCAGCACTGTGAAAAAAGAGATCAAAGAGGATATAAGAAAATGGAAAGACATTTTTTGCTCCTGGATAGGAAGAACCAATATAGTGAAAATGGCCATACTTCCAAAACTACTATGTAGATTTAATGCAATACCAATTTAATGCAATACCAATGGCCGAGACACTTCCAGTTGCACAATATACTTCACAGAACTAGAGAAAATAATCCAAAAATTCATTTGGAACCAGAAGAGACCTAGAATAGCAAAAGCAATTCTAAGCACCAGAGACATGCTAGAGGGTATCACAATCCCCAAGTTGAAACTATACTACAAAGCTACTGTGATAAAAACAGCATGGTACTGGCAAAGAAACAGACCTGAGGATCAGTGGAGTAGATTAAAAGATGCAGAAACAACTCCAGACATACTCAGCCACCTCTTCTTTGACAAAGGAGCTAACCACCCTCATTGGAGGAAAGATAGCCTATTTAATAAATGGTGTTGGAAAAACTGGATTTCAACCTGCCAAAGATTA